TCTATACAATTTACTGTTGGTAGGTAGAGTCCTATACAATGTACTGTTGGTAGGTAGAGTTCTATACAATTTACTGTTGGTAGGTAGAGTCCTATACAATGTACTGTTGACAGGTAGCTGTCACGTTGTATATAAGACCAAGGGTACAGTCCTATACAGTGTACTGTTGACAGGTAGAGTCGTCCTATACGATGTACTGTTGACAGGTAGAGTCGTCCTATACAATGTACTGTTGACTCATTTCTTTAGGCGTCTGGTTCTATACGATAATGGTTTTAGTATCTAAAGTATCGTCATAATAAATACAACTGTATGAAGCCTATCGAATTATTTTTTATGCATTAAATTTTGTATATACTATTTGTTAAGTTATTATTCTCGAAAAAATGGCACAAACCTCAAACTTATTGCAACATAATTATTTATTTTTTGTCCTACGAAATGATGGATAATTTTATTGTAACAGAAGAATTTATATAAATATAGGGGAAGCGTTTTTACTCTCTTTTGGCTAAAAAAAACCCCAAACACAGTCATGTATTTAAACGACTTGTAAGTGTTATATTTCACACCTTGTGGTACTGAAAATAGAAAATCAACAGTTAGCAAAACCAATTAAATTACAATATAGATTACCAAAATGTTCCATTGGAATCGTTGTATTGGAGGTGTTAAATAAAACTGAAAGATATTCAGTCATCGAAACGTTTGGTTTTATTACCTTTTATAAATAAAGAATACTGTAAGTTGATCTGAATACAATGAGCAATGTTCCTTTATGATTTATTTAGATACGGTAACTGTGTTTAATTTGCATACAATTATAATGTTGCATTCCCTACAAATAGGTAGTACAAACCTCCAATGTTGGTATACAGGGCTGACTTTGAATTATATTATTACCTAACCAAAGTTGACTGATAAATGCCCACTTGATGAATTGCGTTATTACCTGGATTGGAAATGAGACATAATTACTCTAGCATCATATGTTAGAGTAAACGCTTACACATCCGGAGCACATGGTCTCATTTCCGGTTTTATGTGGGTTCAGGATGTCTTTCCTTCTGTTTTACTGTATTTCCGGTTCCTGCTCGTGACACCGTGATATAATATTTATTGTGGTAGAATCAAGTGGTACCTTAATTCGATCGACGAAATTTGAACCGTATTATTTTAAAACTGTCCAAAAAGGTGTCGCAAAATAGCAATAGCTAACAATTTCTAGTAACACCTGTGGTTTATTAGTTAATAGTTGTTATGTCTATAAACAATAAATTCTATGTGTGTTGTCCATGAATATTCAGATTTTTGTGACATGATATCCCGGTATTTTCCATGAAGTACACATCACTGGGGGTCGGCTGCTGGATGTTGGTACCGGTCCTACTGTTCACTCAGTTATCAGCTCAAGTCGACATGTCGATGAAATCTACCTCAGTGACTACGCCGAACAAAACAGAAATCTGCTCACTGACTGGTGGAAATCAGGAACGAGACCGCAAGCCGGAATAATGGAATATGTGATAAAGAAAGAAAACTCTAAGTAAGCTGTGTTCATTTAATGTAATACATACAGCGTATCAGATATGTATTTACTAAAAAGTCGAAAGACAACAATTGGTGAATTGCAACATTTCGTTTTGTTTAGCAAGATACACATCTCAAGTTATGGGTTAGAACCTCTCGCCAAGCTGTAAGATTGTAGACAAAAACAAGGGTATAGGTTGAAATCTCAATACAAAAACAAAGGTATGGGTCTAAAATCCTTATAGGTAGGCTGTCAAATTGTACGTTGTACATAAGACCAAGGGTATGGGTCGAAATCTCTAGGTAGGCTGTCACGTTGTATATAAGACCAAGGGTATAGGTCGAAATCTCTAGGTAGGCTCTCACGGTGTACATAATACCAAGGGTATGGGTCGAAATCTTTAGGTAGGCTCTCACGTTGTATATAAGACCAAGGGTATGGGTCGAAATATCTAGGTAGGCTGTCAAATTGTATATAAGACCAAGGGTATGGGTCGAAATCTCTAGGTAGGCTGTCAAATTGTATATAAGACCAAGGGTATGGGTCGAAATCTCTAGGTAGGCTGTCAAATTGTATATAAGACCAAGGGTAT